GAGTCCAAAACAGGTTGTTTTTTCACAATGAAGTGCATTGCTTCACCTTCCCATTCCAAATGCAGCTGGTCACACAAACCTGAGCAGAGACTGATGGCAACCTGTGCCAGTGCATCACAGCCACCTTGTTGTTTGGCTGTCACGTTTTCACTAGAGCATTGGCTTCTCTTGTCACAGGTGTGATGGGGTAGCTGAACACAACTGCCTGTGGCTAAAAAACCATAGACAAAGAGATGACACCTCATGCTGTCTGGCCTCACAGGAGGACCAGCTGCCTCCAGCCAAGCACATCACTCCGTTGGTGATGTTACTGGGGGGATCCTGAGCTGTGCAGGAGTGATCCTCAGCACCACACACAAAACCAGGCTCTCCCAGACCACAGTGCAAAACCCCCTCCTGCTCCTGGGAGCCACAGGCTCCATTTCCAGAGTCTGATCTGGAAACCAAGAACTGCTCAGTAGGAGAGGCAGGTATCATTCCTACGCAGGAAAGCACCAAGCTTCTCTTTGCAGCCCTGCTAGCTGCTCACACAACATCTCCAGCACCTAATGGAAATGTAAGAATTGTAGGAAATGTAGGGATTAAAGCCATCATCTCCTTTTTTATGTTTCCTGCAGAGAAGAAAACACAAGGAAATTACAACAATAATTAACATAAACAAGATGCAAAGAACAGAGAGCCCAGTCAGCTTCAAATAGATAATGGTGATCCCAAATTGATTTCCAGAGGGCTGGAGACACAAAGCAGGGATCTCCTGAGTGTGTGCTTTATTTATCTCAATTACTAGATTCATTACCTTAGTTTGACAAAGCAGGCTGTAGAAAAAGAAAGTAAGCAACAACAGGCCAGGAAATCAATCCTATCAGCTTCCTGGCAAAGAGAAGAGATTTGTAGATCCCAAAGGGACATAATTCCCAATGAGATATATTTGAGCTTTGTGCCCTTACCCCTCACTTTTTGTCCTGTAGGGGGGCAGCCTGGCCATCTCTTAACTAGATCTGTACCATTTACACCATCACTCACATAATCCTGGGTGGGTCCCTAAAGAAGAGAGCACTTAGATGTCTTTTCCTTCCCTGGGGACCACGAAGAAAATGCTAGCATTCTTCTTAATTTCAGATAGCTACTAGGATTTCAACATCCTCAAGGCTTCTGCTTCTACTGACTAGTTGATCAATGGTTTCAAGAGTCTGGGGGAGAGCCAGGAGAGCAGGAAGCAGGGAAACATATACAAAATTTGATTGAAATCAGCCTGGGGAAAGCCTGCCCCATCTGGTTACATCACTGCAGGGTAAGAATGTGCTTGAAGCTTGCTCTTGAAACAGGGAGTATGGCAACAGTTTCTGAAGGAAAGGTCCCATTAATATGGGCAGGGTATGTTTGATGTGTCTGCAGTGTTCTCTGGGACTTCCAGCAAAGCAAACTCTTGTTGATGTGGAGGGAAATCGGGTATAAAGAACCAGAGTTAGCGACAGTTTTGATCCAGAATGTGGTTATTGTGTATGGGGAAGGGCATTTACTTGATGCAACCACAAAAGCAAGTGCTCCAAGTGGCAGACAGGCCAGGTTTGCTCCTGCCAGCTTTAGACCTGCACAGCAAAAGGTTGCATACAGAGACTGTATGTCAGGCACAACTGGCCATTTCTGCTTGGAGAAAGAAAGCATACAGAAATCGAGGAGGGTTTCTAAAGTAGAGATCACCCTTTTCTCTCTTAAAATTCTATCAGGCAGAAATCTTTGCTTTGAGCCTTGAGCAACATTTTCTCCAAGGGAAGCAGATGAAATGCAGTTCTTTTTTCTGAGAAAAGAAAAATATAGTGGGCACTGAAAAGGGTGGACTAGAGGTAAAAATTTGTATTCTATTTCTTCATGAAGAAGTGGCAAATACAGCAGTGGCTTTACCTCTGGCACGTTGTTTTTCTCTCTACCCTCTTCTCGTCTGGTGGACAGATTGATGGATGCGTTGTACAGTTCTGTCCAATTTAGCATTTTTTTTCCCCAGCTGCAGGTGTACCATTTTCAGCTTATATCTGTACTGTGCATAATCCTAGACATCTAATTATAACTCACCGTTAACACCTCAACAAGCAAAATTCACTTAATTAAAACTGTACAGAGCATCTGTTGTTCATCTGGTATGAAAAATACTAGCTTTTCCCAGTCTATATATCAACTGGGAAGAACTCACCATGCTCCTGTGAGTAATGGCCTCATGGCAGGTTATGCTTTTGCCCATCCCAGATAAATTGCCATTCCCCAAATATGAAACAGATACAGGTCTTGCCATTTTCTTCATCCAAGTAAGGAAAATTTATTTAAAGGAATGCATTGCACAAAAGAGTTAGTCTTTGGTCATTGCTGTGAGTTGCCATTTTCAAGCTGGGGAAGAGACCAGCTCTACCCGACCCTAATTGAGGTTTGATTAACTGTTGTTCTTCTTTGGCTGCCTGATTTCAAATTTAGTGACCTTTGATAAAAATCTAATCTGTTTTTTAATTCCTGCTCAAATGCAGATTTATTTATTTATGTGTTTTGTAAGTACTTTGCCTTTAAATGCCAATCCCACATTTCACCATAGGGAGCAGCTTTTCACGGAATAATATGGGGTTAGAAGGGACCTCTGGAGATCATCTAGTCCAACACAAATGTTTGATCAAACATTTCTGCATCTATAAACATTGGAAATACTGTGCATTTGCTAGAACAGTGCTCTGTGAGTCCTTCCAAGAGCTATGCAGAATAGCTTCAAATTGGGAAGCTGTGATTCTTGCTATCTAATTCTGTGTTCTTCATCTGACTTGGCCCTGCTTCTCCCTATCAACTCCTTCTTAAATTCAGAGATTCATAGAGATATAGATATGCAGAGCCTTCTGAGCTGTAGAGGCTTAGTCCCAGTGAAATCTCCCAGATCATAGACTAGTTTGGATCAGAAAGGATTTTAAAAATCACCTAGTTCCAACCCTCTGACCATGGGCAGGGACACCTCCCAACAGACCAGGTTGCTCCAAGCCCCATCCAGCCTGGCCTTGAACCCATCCAGGGATGGGGCAGCCACAGCTTCTCTGGGAAGCCTGGGGCAGTGTCTCACCACCCTCTGAGTGAAAAATTTCTTGCTGAGATCTCATCTAAATCTCTTCCAGTTTAAAGCCATTACTCCTTGTTCTACCACCATGTGTCCTTGTTAAAGGTCCCTCTCCAGCTTTCTTGCAGGCTCCCTTTAAGTACTGGAAGGCAGCTATAAGGTTTCCCCAGAGCCTTCTCCTATGATCCAAGAACAAAACAACCTTCTGAAGATGATTTTTACGATGAGTAAGTGTGGTCCTAAGTAGGTCCTCCATTTCCAAAGCCAAAGATTCACCATGCTCTGGTAACCCACTTGCCGGTTAATGCATTCGATATCTGCCTGAAAACACCACCACAGAGCATGTGTACAAACTCCATAATACATCTAGGAGTGTTTATCAGAGGCTGTCCTTTAGGTATAGCCTTAGGAGCCATCATAAATAGCACATATTTGCTGCTGTAAAATGCAGAACACGTGGGTTTCTGCCTGCTGAGAGTCTCTTGGTAGATGTAAATAACTGGAATGAAATCCCAGCAGACGAGGAGCACTCTGTCAGCCCTCAGCTCAGATGCAAACCCTGCTCCATCCCTACAGAGAAGCTGTCCTGCAATGTGTCAGTCCTTGGATTCTAATGTAAGCAGGAAACAACCACTAAAACCCTTACAGGGAAAGTTAATAGGTTCACCAAGTTTTGACCCAAGCTACTTTATAAAATCAAAGCATGCAATGATTTCTTAAATGGTAATTAAAAATTATACCACCAAAAATACTGTAGTGATGAGCCTTGGTCCCCCAGAGAACCCCAGCAGTTCCCTGGAGAGGGATGGAGATTAGCAAACACATTTCACATGATGGCTTTGAATATAATTATTTGTATAACTGGATTAAAGAAGTGCGCCAACATGCCTCTAAATCTTATTATTGTTTATTACTCTGGATATCAGAGAAAACAGTAATTACATTGAGCAGAGATTCCTGGGGCTCGATTCAGAGGTGGGTCTGAGTGAATGTGGCTGTGACTTGGTCCCCACCAGCTTGTTGAACCCCCAGTCCTCCAGCTTGGTGCCAGACCTCCTTTCTGCATCGTGCAGGGAAAGCCTGGAAAAATGGCCTTGCAGAACCACTAAGGTGGGCTAAGGGAGCTGCTGAGGAGAGACAAGGAACTTCAGGACCCTGTGGCTGGGGAACACAGATCATTTCAAGGTGCATCTGCAAAACATAGTCCTGAGAAGGGCCTGAAGCAAGGGGCAGGCTCTGAGCTTTGTGCTCCAAATGCAAGTCCTGAAAGATTCAAGGCATGTACAGGTTAAACCAGCACTTAAACAAGGGTGCCTGCTGTGCTGGGCACTCCTGAGGACCTCCTTGGCGTGACATACCTTGGCACTGCTGGAACTGCAGCTTCAGGGGCTGCTGGTAGCAAGATATTCCCAGTGCGTCCATCATGCTGGGAACAATATAGGCACTGAGCAGCCGTTCAATTCTGTCTCAAGGTAGAAAAGAAAAAAAAAATAGAGAGAGAAATCCCTCTTGTTTGCTTCGTGCAGCTCTCTGCAGACACCATCTGCAGTCACTGACATTCAAGAGAACATTAATAAACCAAACTGCAGTGCCTGCAAATGAGTGTAAAAACATGATGTGTAAGAAGGAAATGATCCCAGGCCTGCTGTGTTAACAAGAGTCTTCCCAGTTACTCCACTGGGCTTTGGATCACTCTGGGTTACAGCGCTGTCTGTATTTAGTGCACAAGATTGTAAATGTAAAGGGCCATCTCAATGCTAATTAGCCTTTACAAACTGACAAACTGACAGCTTGAAGTAATATAATTCCATAGAAGAAAAATCTCTAAAAATCAGGATTTTGTAGTTACTTAAGGCAGCTTTTTGCAGTGTTGTTTCTCTCTCGGTGTCTTACTCTCTGTTTTCTTCAGAAGAGCTGAACAGAAGCTGAAAACTTATAAAATTTAGTTGGTTTGTTTGGAAGGGTTTTTTGCCTTTTCAAAATCACCAGTTATTCATGTAACTTGCTACATTGAGCTTGAAGGAAAAAATATTCCCTACAATTCAGCAAAAGCAAAACATCCTTTAATAGGTCATTCAAATCTTTAAATCAAGGTAAGAACGGCAGATACATTTCATCACAGAGTGAATGCAAGTAATACCCACTTTAAAAGGATTTTCTTTGATTCAGTGTTTCTGTCATCAGCTTCTAATATCCAGTTCCTCATTACAAGCAACAGAACAGCTTGAAATTCTAAGGAAATTTGTAAGAAGGGATTTCAAACGTTTTTCCAATGCTGTTCCCAGTGTGTGCATATGCATCTGTGTATTTTTTTAACCAGATTAGCTTACTGAATGCTGATGAGAGAAATTATATTCAGAGTTTCACAGTAGGAGTACACTTACAAACTAGAGAAACCGTCCTCTCTTTCTTCCCTTTCCCTACTCATCTTTTTGCCTTGCCTTGCAGCCCACACCCTCAAACCAGGACAGTTTCTGGCCATGGGCAGTTGCAGTCAGACAGATGCCCTTGCTGACAATGGCCAAAACTGCCCCTGGATTGTGCTGCTTTTCCAGCTGATCTCAGCTCAGTTTCAGTCAGTTCCTTTTGCCATCCCAGATTCTGGCTCCACAGGCTGGAAGAAACCTCTTCAGAAACAATGTCTGCTTTCAGAACTTCTTCCCTTACTCTTATCTATTACCTGGGCTATTTTCAGTTCAGACAGAGGGAGGAAGAAACTAGAAACCATTAGGTTGATTATAGCTTCTAACTCCCTCATCTGATTGAAAGGTGAATGTCAAAGGAAATCGCTTCTTCCCAAAAGACTCCTTCAAAAGAGAGCACTTGCCACTCTGCCCTGTTTGACAGGTCTTTCTTTGGCTGGTCACACAATGCTCATACATGGCTCAATGACAACAGCCCTTTCCACCCACTGTCTCTTAACAGGCACCTTTACAAGTGCTCCTGAAGACAGTATCAAAGTCTCTGGCTGTCTCTGGAGACCAAAGCTGATGACAGCATTGCCACATGTCAAAATCAGTTCCTCAAGTGATGAGCACAAAACGTGTCGGCGCTGCCAAATCTCTGACGATGTCCATTCCTCTGGCCGGGTACGCAGCTGCCTTGGGGGAGGGTCAGCAAATTGGGGTTACATGAGACAATGGCAGGAGCAAAATTCAATGTCAGTAAAGTGGTGGTGTGTTTTAATGTTCCCATATTTGGATGAGTTTCCACCATGCATTATATTTCCAGTCTGCCCGTCCTTGGCAACATCACCAGCAAATCCACCAAACAGGCTGTCGCACACCCTGCATCGCAGTGGCACCTCACAGAAGTAACATCACCCTGGGTTTGTTTCCCCTCTCGCAATATTGTGTCCCTGCTACATGCTGTGCTGCAGTTTCATGAGACACAGGAGGTTCGGGATCACACAATGATGCTGGATTCCAAAGCCTAAGGTGCAGATCCCTGCCCGATGCTGTTGGCCGTGGCAGGCAGGTGAGCAACCCTCTCAGGCTGGTGTTCCATCCACTTGGCTAGTGGCAAGGAGAAAATGGCAGTGAGGGAGGAAGCCATGTGGGGCAGACACAGCACACTCCACCGTGGGCTGCAGAACCCTCATCCACACATGGATCTCCAGGTATGCAACAAACCAGTTGTCTTCTACAGAGATGCTCAGAAGGAACGAGGGTGAGCCGAGGCCATCACCCCACACACCACTCACACCATCAGGAGTCGGGGGGCCCCTGCACACTGTTGTTGACCCCACAACTCAGGTGGCAGAGGGAGGCTCGGAGCAGTTCCTACCAACCTGGTTTCCTGCCCACAGCTGAGAACAGCTGCTCAGGAAGGGCATTTCAGAGAGCCTTAGGCTATTCTTCAGCACGGCCCTAACCCAAGAGGACAACAGGACTGTTGTTAGTCCTCCACCCTGGATCCTGTGCTAAGGACTGGACTCTGGATAGATACGCAGATTTAATTTTTAACTGATCCAAAGCACTTCCTCACTGAGATATTTAGGTTTCATATTGACCCCTCCTTCTCCCCGTCCCCAGATCCCATGTCTGTACTGCCAACAATATCCAAAACAGACAGGAGGGATCCCTGGAGTTTACATAAGGGTATCTTAATGTGCTAAATGCTCCTTGGCCTCCTCTCAAAAAAGTACAGACATTTCTGGGACTCGATGTCTGCCTCCTCTTCTCCAGTAGGAGTGGAGGTGCTGGGGAAGCTACGCACGGGACTTGTGTTGTTATAATTGAGCCCTGAGAACAAATGTCAGGAATCAGGCCTAATTAATAGTTGAAAAGACTTACAGTGTTACTGTACAAAGGAAGTGCACTCTCACCAGCTCTTATTTACAGCACCACACTGGCCATAATGCAATTTGTAGTGGGTCCAATTTTCTTCTTTCTCCAGGCAAACATTTTCTTCAGTTCCCCCCTGAAGCTGTCGTGGAGCCAGGCATAGAGAAAGGCGTTGGTACAAGCAGACATCATTGCAAACCAGTGGCACAGCAGCTGGATGAAATTGAAGTACTTCTTGTCAATCAAGCTGATGTCTATGTCCTTTATCATGTTGAAGATGTGCAGCGGCAACCAACAGACTCCAAAAGCTGCCACCACCAAGACTAGCAAGCGAAAGGTCTTTCTCCTCCTTGCTCGGTCCCACTCAGCTTGGCCCTGGGTGACGTTGCCTGGGACCACACGGTTTTTGAGCTTGACTGAGATTCTCAGGTAGGACAGGGAGATGACAGCCAAAGGCAGAACATAGGTGATGATGAGAGTGCCGTAGGCGTAAGCTAGGCGATCTCTTTCCATGTAGAACCAAAACTCCTCACAAATGGAGAAATCCAGTTCTGGGAACTCTCTGTGGTAAGTGTGGACCAAGGCTGGGACAGCCAAGGTGCAGCTCAGCAGCCAAATAGCAGCCAGGATATAAGCACAAATAGGGATGGTGAGCCTCCTGCGGAAGGGGTACACCATGGCATAGTACCTGTCCACAGCTATGACAGTTAAGGTAAAGACAGACACAAACACAGTGACAGGTTGCATCAAGAACACAAAGTAGCACATGAAACGCCCATACACCCATCCTCTGGGCTCAAAGGCATAGGCGAGTGTCAGGGGCACACAGGTTGCACACATGAGCATGTCCGAGAAAGCCAGATTGCCTACCAGAAAGTTGGTGACATTGTGCATTTTTTTCGTCTTGCAGATCACATAAATGAGAAGGTAATTCCCAATGACACCAATAAAAACCACCAGCGAGTAGCAGGGGATGATAAGTGGCTTGAAGGTCTGAAGAAACTGGAGCCCTGAAAATAAATTGCTGGCATTGCTATGAATCGCAGAGAGGAAGCTTTGGGAGGTTAAATTGTCCGAATTCATCATTTCCCTCCTTTTGTCGTCTGCCGTCAGCTGAGTGAAGTAGTTACCACTGCACTACTCCTGCACTCAATCAGTGTGGATAATGAATGGATTACTGGCTGTCCAGAGGTTACCACAAGGATAGTAAACAAGCATCCGTAAAAGCAAAAGGTGAAGTTGCAATCCTCGAGAGGCAGCTTTCAGCAATTCCTAAGAAAAATCAAATACAACCAATTTCCATCAAAGTCCTCCTGTATTTACTGTTAAATCTAGGTTCTGACAGCATGCCACTTAATAAACATTTAATGCAGTGAGTACTTACTGCTCTGGTTTTGTAATCCCATATGATTTTCCTGTGGATTCCAAGAAGTGCCCTAGATGTCTGTCTTCTGCAAATGCAGGAGCGTGTGTGTGTGTGTGTCAGAGAGAGAGAGAATATATGAGTGAGAAAGAGGGTGATGCGCATTTACAAGCTAAGTGGAGACCAGTGTTTTTAAACAGTCTTCACTACTAGGTCATGGCAGATTTGTGTATAAGCTTTTATCCCTATTGGCTGTCCTGGGTATTACGTTGCTCTTTGCGTGTTTCTTACTGATAGTAATTAGTTCTTCAATGTCCTTTCAAAAATTCCCTTCTCCTTCCAGTGCATCTATAATTGCCCCTCACAGCTAAAAATCAATTTACATTCATTAAAACTAGCCTGCACAGTAACTAATCCAAGATTCACTTTGCCACAGTCCTCGGAGTGTCCAAAAAAGCTACCTGTGCATTTGCTGCTATAATGTGGCTGTAAAATAGAATTTTAATAACATGCTGAAACCAGAGAAATGTTTATGCCACTAGAGGGACTCAGCTACGTACCCGGTGAATGAAGTTAATAATGATGTGCGTTTAGCGTGTAGCGCAAAACACTTTATTTTATTTAAATTTATTTTCTAATAATGTTGCAATGCTTGCTCAGTCATTGTATTTTCAGTGGAGTTCACCATCTTTAAAAGTAAACACATGCGAGCATCACAAAGGAAATATTAGCATCCGAATAGCTTAGCTGTAAGGGATCACCTGCAGTGAACTACAGAGAACTGTATCCAGTATCACAGCTGCCTAAAAATGTTTAGGGTATTTCTTTGTTCCTGCAGTGGGTTTGTTAACCTTTTCTGCACCAGACAATGAGTGCTAACCAGTCTGTAAAATAGTCTGTACTTGTTCTGTTTGATTCAGACATTAGAAAGCAAAAACTCAGGATAAGTGCTTAGAGAACACACATTTAAGCAGATGTCCCCATCCAGCTCTTACCTATTGCTCTGATTGTCCCTTAACTCTCCTCCATTTCACCCATTTCTGGGACCAGGACCTCAGCTAGTGAAAAACAGTCAAACTCCACTGCATCCATTTATACCAGCTAGGCAATCAAAGAAATAAATGGAATAGCCTATCAACTTATGAATGCCTCAGAGCAGAGAACATTGCTAGGTTTTGCAAGGCACTCAGGGGATTTAGACACAACTTCAATGGACAGTTTATGTCCTAATGTCTCAGACTACTATAAGGAAATATTAACCCCTTATTTTCTATGAGGCTATGGGCAGACCCATATCCATCTTTTGATTTGATGTAATTTGACATAAACCCAAAGTTCAAATAGATTTCATTTGTGTCATAAACCTTTCCCTAATCTTAAAACAGAAGCTAATCTTGTGTAGCCCTTGTTCAGACCGACAACCACTTATGATGGATGGGTATTTCAAACCCGGTAAATGCTGACGCTGTGCCCCTGCATTTATAGTTAGATTATGCTATGGACTAGAATATGGCTATAATTCCAGCCCGAGGGGAGAACAAGCATGTAGCCATGTTGCTCAGGAGTGCCATCCTTCACTTCCTGGGTGCAGTAACCTACCCATGACCCATATGAAAAATGGGATGTGATATCCCACTTCAGAGTCCAATCTCACCTATCTGAGCTGGATAGGACCCAGAGGAATATAGCACCTATTTGTCTCTACATACCGAAATCCAGAAGAGGAGAGGGACCTGAAGGTAGAGGTTGCAAAGAAGTAAGGAAAAGGGGGTTTCCTACTGCTTTCACCACCCTGTGCAACTGTACTATTTGGTTACAAGCAGCATGCTGCAAAAGCACATATAATAAGCACACATAATAATTGAAAAATCACGTCTTTAACTGATTTCTCTGTTTCATTCCCCAGAGCTATCCAATAAATATCCTCGTTGTACTCCTACAAAAAAAAATATTTATAATTTGCTATGTGAGAATAAAAATCAAACAAAATATCATCTAAAGTAGGCTTCAAAGTCACCTTAATGCTCAGGTCACAAAAATCTGTAAGTAGTCTTAGAGTTTCTTTTATTTCAAGCTGTACCAAGCAATCTTCCTGCATTTTCTCTTACCTTTAAATGTATTTTCTTCACCTCTGAAACCAGTAACCAGTACCTCTTCTGTTTGAAGTCACCCACCTTATTTCTGTTAGTGATTTTCTGTTTGTTTTGGCTTCAGGCAGATTTCTCCAGTTCAGCTGTACTCTACAGCCAAGACCTGGAAAGATAATATTTAATGGGAGTTTGAATAGAAAAAGTATTTCAGCATTTTACCCCAAAGAAATCCCTATTTCTCTTTTTAAAACTCAAAATATTAATTTTGTTTAGAATTTCCTAGACTAGATGAAAAGTTCTTCCTGAACGGAGTATAAGTCTATTTCACACACAGAATTTTCTCATTAAAAGAGAAAAGGTCACAGAAACTGCGTTACTGTCATATTAGAACTGTTTTGACATTCCAAGTGTGTAAGGGTGTCACACATAGGAATGCTGATTAGTGTCTAATTGAACCCCTGGTCTTCCTTGAGTCAATGGAAAGCGTTATATCTAGAGCCAGACCAACACATCACAGAAACATTTCACAGCTGAACATTTCATCTCCTGTGCTAACCTGTCCAACTCTTTACAGACACTTTGAGTACAAACATCGTAAGCTGCTATGGACTTTCAGAAAGTGAGAAACCTCTGTAAGCACTAATGCTGTTCCTTACATGTTTAATCATCCCTGTAATTCCTAACTAAAGCAGCATGATCCAGGAATGAGGATGCTTGCAAAGCTCAACAGTACTTCCTAAGCTGGTAGGCTCTCTTTTCTGTTATTTCAGCTTTGCAGACAAAAAAAATTCTTCTGTTATTAAAGTCTCGCAGTTTCAGGTGTTAGTATTTTACGTTCTTGTTTATTTGATATGTGTATTTTACTGTAAAATGTAACTTCTTTTGCATCACAGAACTCCTTTAAAAAGTCTTTCACATTCTTCCAGGAACGTTCTGTGCAGAGCAGATCAGACAGTTCTTGCAGAGCCTACAATAAAAATATATGCTTTGCCTATTTTGACTGAGTAGAGCTGGGGTTCTTTTAGTAAATTCTCCTGATGACCAGTCAGGGAACAAGGTTGTGTATCACAATAATTTCAAGACAGGTCAGCCTGCCCTCCTTGTCTTGTTTAATCATACAGATGCATGGTGTCTGCTCCTGCTGTGGGCTGGGCCATCACAGTCTCTAAACTCTAAAAACCTTATTTACAACTAAGGCTTTTGTTTAGTGTCCTTGGAGTTTTTTGGTTGGTTTTTGCTGCTTTTCTCAAATTCAAGGTACCAAACTTCCATAAATCAGGATTCAGCTTAAAATCATTAATTTAAGCTGAAGAAGAGCTCTACTCTAATGAAGAGGAGGCTTGAATTTTAGTTAAAACATTCTTGAGGTTGCACAATAAAAATAGACTAGGGGGTCTACTCTTCACTGTATGCACTGATTTCTTAGTCCACTGAACAAAGTGAGGTGAGAAAAGGGAGCTGATTCCTTAGTTGAAAAAAATTTTTGCTAGAATAAAGGTGACAGTGTAAAAACTGAGGGAAAATACAGGTGGTTTCCTGGGAATGATGGTGCTTGATCACAATTACCACAACAAGGTAAAAGCAAAACATAGAAGTGAATAAATTCATACTGTCAGGAACTAGCTAATTCCCCTGCCAGGTTTTGCAATAACTGGCACATGGAACTTCTGGGTGAGAAATAAGGGCTTTTCCTATCTCTGTGGCATGGTAATACATCCTGTGACTGAAGAAAAGCAAATGAGATACCTGTCCTTAAACACAGGAAGGTTGGGAGTGGGGTGGAGGGTGGGGATATGACGAGAAAGTGCAGGCCTTTAGTCTGACAGCAGTTTTACAGTAGATTTTAGACCAGATTTAAGGACAGAGGAAAGACAGAGAGAGGAGACAGAATAAAACACCAAAGGAAGCTTTGGTCAAATTAACCTTCCATCTCCCTGTTATTAAACTGATTTTTCTCAAAGTGGGATATGTAGTAGTTCTTTTCAGTTTGGGTTTGTGTAACAGGAGTGAGTGGTAGCATATGAGAAACCAACACCTATAGCAGAGGAAGTATCCTAAGAACTGTGAGGTAGGCAAAGAACAGTAACGTTTACGAAGACATTAGACCAGAAGACAGCAACTGTTCATGCTCGCCAAGAACCTTGCTTGGGACTGACCAGCCTTGGTAACTCTTTCTTTTTTATTATGTTAGCACAAAATACAGGGCCGCACTGACTGAATTTGATAGAAGCACCAAGTTTGGAACCAGACATAACATGCAAGATGACTGCACAATTACACAGAGAAACTTTGAAAACCTCAGGGAGAATAGGAGAAAGTTTGATACCATCACAGAGGAAAAACGTGTCAGGATCAAGGTCACCTGACAACAAGCATTTTCACTGTGGCTTAGAATGGAGTAAATTCTCTTGTAGGTTTATACATAAGAGGAGGCAATGCATTTGAAAGTGCAAAGAAAAGAAAATCTACTACTTTGTGACAGATTCCAGGGTGAATTTGCCTCTACTTTGTTACAATCTCTGGGCAATTTACAATCTTTGGGCAATTTTCTTGCTATAAGTGTCTATTCACCAGAGCAGAATTGCTCTGTATTCTTTAAAAACATTGGGGAGGATGGTAAACTCTGGGGCACGTAAAGATGTATTTAAGCTAAGGAACAATACTAATGAAAGAACAAATTTACCATGGGCAAATTTAGGATGGAAAGTAGAACACTTCTAGGTGGGAGGGCAACAGATTGCCCCTTGGTAGTGCTGGCTTTTGGAACAATCAATGTATTATGAAGGATAAAATACCTGCTTTTAACAGAAAGCTTGATCTATTTGTCACATGCATGTGGTATGATTGCTTGCATGGGGCTTGGGCTTCAGGAGGTTCCTTTCCTTTCTTCATCAACACAGATTTAGATTTTGGATTTCACTTACTCAAAAATACTCCCCTATGTCACGGATGGAGTAATTAACCTCACTAGTTAGAGTGAAGTAGTGAAATATTTATTACAGTGAAACAGTGATTTAACAAAATCAGTAGTAAGTGCGATAAAACCAGTAGTAAATGCGATAGTGTTTTACGAGATTCGATTGCAAGGTACACTCTATTATTTACTGCACAGAGGACAGGGTCAAACAAGCTGCCAGGGAGACCCTCCCATTGAGTCACGAGGTTCAGAAAGGACCCCCT